GGGAATGGGTTACTGCAATGAGACCCCATGTGGAAGAATGTTTTTCCCTCAAGGCAATATTAACATTATTCAGTGGAAAACTGTATGTGATATTGTGATGAATTTGATGAAATATTATGTTACTCTTTCTCCTCTTTATTGGGAGTCCCTTTGATGATCATGTTAACACCTTTGAAAAACATATCTACGAAATTGGAAATTACGTTCATTTTTCACTTTAGTGATTACATATATCACTAGTTAAACAAACATGTTCTTAAAGTGGCTGATTTTCGTACTATCAGATGTGATCATTGATGGATTTGCATCAGGTCATTGATTCTGTCAAAGATGGCCTAAATTTTATCCAGAAAGATGGTAAAGGTAGTTAGAAATCCAATTGCAAAAGTCACTTTTCTTTTTATTTTATCTCTTGCAAATGCACTAGTTTTCCTTCATTTATCCATGTTTCAGCCATGTAAAAGGTGTTCTGATTTGAGGAGTGATGTTCATTCTGATATTTGTTTCTATCAACTCAAGCTTTTTGCTGTTATTATTATGTTTGAAAAGAAGGAAAACTGATCGGTCCTGAAATTATATGTTGGCAGTGTTGAATTTCTTCTGGTACATGATGATCCTTGTGAGGCTTACCCTAGTTCTATGTTGTCATGTTTTTTCTCCACACGAGGTACAAGCTGCTTATACCGAAATTGTGTCTCATTCCTCAGCTTCTGGTACTTTTCTGTTTCTGATAGTAGGTAGGTACCATGTGATTGTCCTTCATTTCTAGAGACACAATTTCAGAAGCGCTTGTGGATAAGAAATATTACCACTACACTAGCTTATGATTAGCTGATGGAATTATGGAATAGAGTCCTCCTTAACAACTTCATCACATAGTGTTAATGATTTGGTCCATGAGAAAACACTGTTTAGAATATTATAAGCCTTTGCCGGATCCTTCGATTCGGGTCCTTGGAAGAAACCAAATAGACAAAAATCGAGCAAACATGTCAGTAGCTTTGAGCATCATACTATGATTTCACGGACACAATATGTGGAATTATTTCTATTTGTTAAGCATCTGAGAATTTCATTGCATAGTTGAAGTGGACTTCCAGTGGAAGAGACACGTTATGTGCTGGAAATATATTGGCCAATGTTCTAACAAGTAAATGTGTTCAGCATGAGGCTCCTTTGACAGATTAATGCGTGGGCTTATCAAGATTTACATAATTGATAGATGAATAATTTTGGAAACATTTGTTTTGGAGGAAACTGGGATGAAATTTTGGGCTATGTAGCATGGACATTTTGTTGTGAAGCTGGGTCATGTCAGACGCATGTCTGACATATTTCCTATGTATTTTAAGATTTTTTTTGTATGTTATGTTATGTCTATATGAGCATGTCATCATGTTGTATCTGCAACATAGATTCTGGGTCATGTATGTGAATAGCAAAGGTTTTGTTTGTCGACAGAATTAAGTAGTTATCTTGAATATCAACAGGTGGATCGCTTTGTGATACCCATTTATTTGTCCCACAACGAGAATTTAGGAAAGTATGGATGATCTTATAAGCTGGGTGGGTCATAGGATCAAGTGTCACAATGGCTAATCATGTTGGTAGTGGCTTGAGCAAAATGAGTGTGCCCTCAGTTCGGTCTCAGGGCTACATTATGCAATGGGCTCGCAGGCCGGGGCATGACAAATGGTATTAGAGTAGTTAAGCCAAAATGTGTCAATACTATGCGGGACTAAGTGCTATCGTGTGAGCCCAATGGGACCCACCTCTACAATCATAGGAGCCACCTCAAAATTGACATTGTCTGTCAGTGATCCAAAGGTGAATATTATCATGCCGCAATGAGGAAGTCATGTATTTGAGGTGGGGTGATTGTGATACGCCTTTTAGTCAAGTGTAACACTGATTGGTCTTTTTGGTGGTGGTTTGAGCCAAACAACATGTTGCACTCAATAGGTGCTTGGGCTTACATTAGGGCTTACATTACGCCAATGGGCTCGTGGGCCCTAGGTTTGATAGGCTTTTTTAGTTGAAGAAGGAATTGGGAGTTGTGGACGGTTAAACTCTGTGCTCGTGTCATGTGCATACATTAGATCATGACGAAACTGTTTTTTGCACGTTTTTCAATTTACCTATTTATGCATGTGATTGATTAGAAATGATTAAATTCAAAGTTTTGACTTTTTGATTTTCTGGTAAGCATGTAATTTGAATCTAATAATAAGCAATGGCAACGTAAAGCTAAAGCCTCCAGAAATGCAATCACTACGTAATTTTTATGCTTGATACGTTTTCTTATCCTTGGCCATATAAACACATGCCTTTGTGATTGTGCTGCTTGCTCAAGTCAAGCATACTAACTTGCGTTTTCATTTAGGAAGTGATATCCAGAAAGGTCTTAATAGACGAGGGCCAAAGGCAGGTTGTGGAGGTGGAGCAGGCAGCATTGTGGAGATTCCTTTGGTGGTCAGGGACTATATCAGTACACGTCTTTGTAGATCAAAACCGGAAAGATCACACTGTAAACAAACTGACTTTCCCTCCTCGTTCTTCACTGAGATATGTCAAGATCATCTCTCTCATGTTTCTATTCTTGTTGCAGGTGAAGTTCAAGCAAGGGAAAACAGGATTTATGAATAAATTTGAAGGTTGCTGGAAAGTAGAGCCCTTATTGGTTGATTCCTGCACTGCGGGCAAAGGAAGAATCGGTTCAATTGTGACCTTGGATCAGCTTATCGAGCCAGCACTTGTGCCTCCACCACCAATATCATGGTATCTGAGAGGAATCACGACAAGGACAACTGAGATGCTGATAACTGACCTTTTGGCTGAGGCTGCTAGATTAAGGGGAGATCTATCAAGCAAAGTGCTTGAAGAAAGCCTTGATCCTGCTTGTGTTGGCCGCTCTACATACATTTTTGACGATGGTATAAAGGAGAGATGGCAACAGAGGAGAAGTATGAGACGACAAAGAATTCATAGAGCTCTGGTTTGATAGTAATTATAGAAGTTCTCTTATCATCAAGAGCTTGTAAATTATTAATCTGTCTCAGGTCAGTACAAGATTTTGCTTTTATGATGTATTTTCTAATTCATTGTTCTTTTTTTGAAGCGTAGCTGGTGTACTAGGAATATGACTATCATGTTCGTTGTTGTAACTTATTTTTTGGATAATTTTAATTTCTTTACAAATCATAACCGAGTCTCCAATAAAGCTTAGTTATCTTTATCATCTTTCGACAAACTGAATTTTCATTTCTGTACAAAACTAACAAGTTATGGTTTCTCTTAGTTCTTGCAAGCATTTTCTTGATCTGATGAATTATACATCAGACGCCAAATTTCAACACTCAAAGGGCACACCCGAAGTCTCATTTATTCGCCTTGACAGAGTGAAAGTGTCTCTCTTATTACTCTGAAATGTATTAACCTTTTCATGGATTTTAAAATTGGGAGTTAATTACATTGTGACAGTCATTTAAAAAAGTCTCTTGCTTTTCAAATCTTCATTGTATCCAAAATTTTTTCTTTCTTGCAAGACTATTGTCTGGAAATGAATTATTCATGTATCAAGTGCTAAATATCCTTTTTCTTAATTACACTAAAGAAAAAAATAGGGATGGAGATGAGCGCTTCCTCTTGCACCAACATATAATTCAAATGCATTGTGTTCAACTGTTTATCATGGAGGAATACCTCTTTTTGGTGAACTATCGAATTTGCTGACCAGATTTGTTGGCAAAATAAACGAAGATATGGAATACA